GCTGTCCTGCACCTTGTCCCTGCTCTGCCTGCTCCCTGCCTGCCCGCTGTCCTGCACCTTGTCCCTGCTCTGCCTGCTCCCTGCCTGCCCTCTGTCCCGCACCCTGCCTGCCCGCTGTCCCGCACCCTGCCTGCCCGCTGTCCCGCACCCTGCCTGCCCGCTGTCCCGGTCCCTGCCTGCCCGCTGTCCCAGTCCCTGCCTGCCCTCTGTCCCGTTCCCTGCCTGCCCGCTGTCCCGGTCCCTGCCCTCCCTGCCTGCCCCCTGCCCACGCCCTGCCCTCGCGCCGGGTGCCCCCGCGTGCCCGCGTACCTTGAAGAAGCCCTTGCAGCCCTCGCAGGTGCGCACGCCGTAGTGCTGGCAGGCCGCGTTGTCCCCGCAGACGGCGCAGAGCCCCTCGTTGGACGGGGACCCCCGCGAGGGCGGCGAGGGCACCTGGCTGTCCAGCAGCTGCGGCGCGTGGCCCAGCTGCAGCCCGGGGAAGGCCATGGACGGCTGCTTGCGGATGGGGTTGGGCACGGCGAAGGCCTGCCCGTCCACGCCGTGGTGCGGCCCGGCCGGCTCGGGGGTCATGGGCACGTGCAGGGGCCCGTCAAAGCGCATCTGGCAGCTGGACACGGGCGTGCCGGGGGGAGACTGCTTGAAGGAGAAGAGGGAGAGGCGGGACACGGGCGTTTTGCGCTGCTCGATCATGTGCGTGGTGGCCACGTAGTTGGGGTGGAAGTTGTGCAGGGAGCCGGGATCGTCCCACACGGGGCCGTGCTGCACCTGGAAGCCGGGCGTGGAGGGAGTCGGGGGCGAAGAGGGCTTGTAGTAGACGGAGCCCGAGTGGGACATCATCTCCTCGGACTGGGGGGGCAGGTGGCCGTGCTGCTGGTAGCCGTGCATCTGAATGTCTTCCACCTTAATGGAGGACTGCTGTCCCGACAGGGGCATTTGGTACAAGCACGGGGGCTTCACGTCGTAGCTTGTGTTGTAGTTGTCCATAAAGGTACTGAAGCTGGGGAGAGAAGTGGTGGCAGTGATTTCAGTGTTGGTGAGGTCCATGCTAAACTTGACAAACTCCGGAGTTAGGAAATCGGAGCTGTATTCTCCCGAGGAGTGGTAGCTGTAGCTCTGGGAGGCCGGGCTGGCTCCTTGAGGCGAGGACCCATACTGAGCCTGAACACAGGGCATGGCTGCAAACGAAACAGCGTCAGGTAGACTCGGCCCGCGCCGCCCCGCACCGCCCCGCGCCGGGCACCGCGGGGGCGAGCGGAGGGTTCCCGCTGCCCCTGCCCCGCCGGGGCCGCGGAGCCGCGGGGCCGGAGCGCACCAACCTTCAGCCGAGGGAGCGGCGGTGTCGGGGCAGCCGGGGGCGGACAGCGTCGGAGCGCGGCGGGGAGCGAGGAGTCCGCGGGGTCACAGCGCGGCGGCGGCTCCAGCCTGCCCGGGCCGACGGCTGAGAGACAGGGATGGGCGGTCAGGGATGGACACACGGACCGCCGGTCGCGGACGGACACACGGACCCGCCGGTCGGGGATGGACACACGGACCGCCGGTCGGGGATGGACACACGGACCGCCGGTCGGGCAGCCGGGGTGGGGCACAGACACATGGAACCGGCGAGCGGGACAGACACACGGAGCCGCCGGTCACGCACATGGGGACAGGGACAGACATACTGGTGGGAGGACAGACACACGGACTCGCTCGTACAGCGACAAACCCAGGGACACGGGACTCGAGACAGACCCACGGCCCCGCCGGGGAGGCTGCCGGGGTCCGGGGGAGCCCCAGCTGTGGACCCGCGGGGTGCGGGAGCAGAGCCACCCCGCGCCCACGAGCAGCGGTTCTGGGGTCGGTTTGGGTTCTTTTCCCTGTAAGCGGGCAGGAATCTCCCGGCGGGCGGACGGGCTGTCAGCGGCACCCGTGCCGTGTCCGCTTCTCCATCCCACCGGGAACACGCGGCGCGTCCCTGGGGGAGCGGGTGAGGCGCGGGGGGTCTCCCGGAGGTGGCGGTGCGGGTGACAGCCGGCGCGGGTGACAGCCGGCGGGGCGGACCCGGCACACCGCGGCGGCTCCGCGGGTGACAGCGCGACCCGACCCGTGCGGGGACCAGTGCGGGACCCGCCGGCGGGCGGGATGGGACGGGACCGGGCGGGCGCGCTCCCCGCGCCTCGCGCGCGGGACCCCGTTCGGGAGGGGTTGCGGGACGGGACGGGACAGGACGGGACAGGACGGGACAGGACGGACGGACGGACGGACGGACGGACAGGCACTCACCGGGAGCGGAGCGCGGAGCGGGGCGCGCGCCGCGGTGCGGGCGGGCGGTGCGGGCGGGCGCGGCGAACAGCGCTGTGCGGCGCGGGCGGCCGGACTGTGCCCGCCCGCAATGTGCCTTTGTTTATGTGGCCGCGGCGCCGCCGACCAACGTGCGCCGCGAGCCCCCGCGCGTCACCGCGCGTCAGCGCGCGCGGCCAATCAGCGCCGCCGGGGCCCGCCCCGGACACGCCCCCCCGCGCGCCAGCGCGCCCTTTTGGTAAGTTTCCGACCGGTGACGTCACGCGGCGAGACACGCCCCGGCCACGCGCGGGGCGGGGGCGTGGCCTCATTTGCATAGAAGGCGGGGCCGCCCCTGCCCCCCCGCGCGCGTCACCGTGACGTGACGGCCCGGAATAGCGGGGGTGGGACCCCAGCCTGGTCTGGGACAAACTCGGGGTCTGGGGGCACCGAACCCCCCCAGCCTGGTCTGGGACAAACACGGGGTCTGGGGGCACTCAACCCCCCCAGCCTGGTCTGGGACAAACACGGGGTCTGGGACAAACACGGGGTCTGGGACAAACAGGGGGTCTGGGGGCACCGAACCCCCCCAGCCTGGTCTGGGACAAACACGGGGTCTGGGGGCACCGAACCCACCCAGCCTGGTCTGGGACAAACACGGGGTTTGGGGGCAAACCCCCAGCCCGGGGTCGGCAGCGGGGCAGCCGCCCCTTCCATTCATCGCCGCCGCTTCCTACGCGCACCCCTCTCCCGCCTCCACGGAAGCCCAAGCGGAATTTGGGCGGATTTTAGTTTATTTTATTTTGTTTATTGTGTTATTTTTCTATTTTAATTAATTATAATTTGTTTTTGTTCTTTTTTGTGCTTTTAAAATTTTTATTTTCATCCTATTTATTGTATTATTTTTCCAATGACTGCATTATTTTTATTTTAATTTATATTTATCTAATTTTACATTTTTTTATTTTATTTATTTCAATTTTATTTATTTCCATTTATTTCATCGCATACTTTAATTTATATTACTTTATTTTTTAAATTTTTAAATTTTTTATTCTATTTCACTATAAGTTTTATTTCATTTTATTAAATGCATTTACTTATTTTTATTGTATCTCATTTATTAAATCTTCCTAATTTATTTTTATTTAATTTTTTTCTATTATTTATTTACCTATTTATTTAAATTCCAGTTATTTGTTTATTGATTGTTCTTATTTTATGCTGCTCTATTTTATTTTACCTCTGCCCCAGCAACACCTGCACAGCCCCCCCAGTTTCTATCATTCCCAGCCCAAGCCTGGCTGGGGGAGTTTTGGGAGAAGTCACAAAGCAGGGCTGGGGTGGGACAATTAAAGGCGCTGCATTTATTTAAAAATATTTACTAAAATCCGATCAGGAATCTCAGTTTCTGGGTCCATCCAGTGATGGTGCACAGGGACAAAGAGCTTTTGGAGGGAGACACTTGGTGGGGTCTGGCAGGTGGCTCCAACACCAACCCTGGACCTTCCCATGGGACCCTCTGCTGCCTCCAACCTGGAAAAAAGGGACACAGTCACGTGAGTGGGTGTCACTTCCCAACACAGACGGGGTGGCCACGGGCCTTCACAGCCCGGGAATGGCCCGGCAGCTCCAGGTGCCTTTCCTCAGGAGTGCTGTAGACCCGATGTCCTAAAGGCTGTGAAAAGGTACCGAACATCCAACCGGGAATAAAGCCCAACACAGCACAACCTAACCCTAAAATCCAGCGTGTTCCCCCCAAAGTCTGCACCTTGCAGAAAACTCCCCAGAACACTGAAACACCAATGGTTTGTGTGAAACCCCAAACGTTCCCTTCCCAACTTGCTCCTCTCGCTGGAGAAACTCAAACACCCCAGACAAACTGCCCCCACCCTGAGGGACCATCTCCACAGCCGGGTGATGTTCTGCTCCCACAGAGTTGCTCCCGGGATTTATCCAGCGGGATGATGTGGTGAAGAGCAGCACAGAAACGGCCCAGCGCTGTAAGGTGCCACTGAGGACTGTTTAGAACAGTGTTTCCACAGCTCCAGGTGCTGCCTTGGGTCCTTCTCCACGGGATTCACCCAGAGGGTGCTGGAGGAGCTCAGCCAACTTCCCCGTGTGTCCCCTTGGCTGCGGCGTCACCATCAGTGTCACTCCTATCCCAACAGCTTGTCCAGGCTGTAGTTCAACACCACAGAAGCAACTTACAGCCCAGGCCCTTATAGGGCTAAGTGATACATCTAATTATCATATCCTTAGAATAGATGTAATATAAATTTCATTACTCACTTAAAAGTTCTAAAGTTAACAGCATAAACTTGAAGTTGAGTAATTAAGTAATCCTTATATAGACACTTATTAAAGTATTTATACATATTATCTTAAATCTACATCTATCATTTTGCCAATTAAAATTAGGACTTTAATTGCAATTAAGTAATTTAATTGCCAATTGAACAGCAAAATTGCTAAGTGACTAATTTTAATGCCTATTTTAATTACCAATCATGACTGGGGAGGGAGCTAATCAAGCAGTATCAGAGTAATGATGTGAAAAAAAGCGGAGAACAAACATTCCAGACTCCATGCTTTTAAAAAGAACTCCAAATTAAATAACTGCAAACACAATTCCAGACATGTGGGGAAATGCCGGATTTGGGTATTTGAACACGGGAGCACAAAGAGCACCTTTAATTACAGAGAACTGTCGCTCTTGCCCCCAAGTGCTGACGATGGAGTGTCCCGTGTCCACTGGCTCTGCTTTGGTCCCCCTGGAAGTGGGGTGGGAGCTGGGCACAGCCCCTCACTCACAGGATGATCTCCTGTAGGAAAGCAACACCCAAGGCCACAAAGTTGGAGAATTTAAGACGGTCCAAACACAGGGAAACAGAGCACACGGACAGGCCAGAGTGAACCACAAGCACTTCTGGCCCTGGATGGCCTCTATGGGGGGCCTGTTCCCAAGTACACTCCCAAAAGTGCAAGTCCATCTTCCTGGCAGGCTCTCACCACCACGAGCGAGGTTTTCCAGCCCACAGCTCCCACAGGATCAGGCCCTGCCACTGACCCCACAGGCCCTGCTCTGGAACCCACCCACGAGCAGAACTGCATCAGGCACTGCCATTTCCAATAAAAACCCCAAAATCCACGTCAGTCCAGGCTGTGAGCGCAGCAAACTCCCGAGGAAAGTCAGTTTGTTTAGGATTAAGAAGCACGTGGATGGGTGGTGGCTGTGGTTGCACCTCTGTTAGTAGGAACACTGTAATGGGGTCACCATGGGGAAGGTTTCGTTGTTGCAGCCCCGAGGGCACCATCAGCACCGAGGGTACCATCAACATCACCAGCTCCCTCAAACACCCACCTCCAGTGTGGTGTGTCCGGCTGCCCTGGGCATCAGGGCACTGCAGGAACTTGCCATGCACAGAGCACTGGTTTTGCTTGTGGGCAGCCCCAGCTCCTGGGTCAGATGAGATCCCATGGTGGTGGCACAGGTCACTCCTTCCCCACTCCCAGCCCGGCAGGCCGTGTTTGAGGGGTACATATGAAAGGGGTCCTGCAGCAGCAGTGCAGTCTCTGCACCTGGCCCTTCCCTTCATGGACACACTTTCACTACTTTCACTACTCACATCCCCTGTCTGACTTGCCAAGTGTTTCAGGATGGAGTTTTGGGAGAGGAGAGCTTTGTTTCCTCTTCAACAGAGCAAAAGTTTCAGACTTACAACGAGGTACCAGAAGACATGATGTACCAGTGGCTGACGCTCTTTGCATCAGGAATCCCCTCTGCTCGTCAGGGCCTGCTCCCCTGCCCGGAGCCAAGGGCAGGAAAGAGGCAGTGCCAGGCCCCTGGAACAGTCACAGTCCATCCCCACTTCATGGACACATTTACATTGATGCCATCTCCAAGAGATCCAAGAGGAGTGGTATCACCCCTGTGAGTGCCTTCCAGGGGGCAAGAGGGCTAAAGCATATTTTTATCCAATTTCATGTGAGGTACAAAGTCCCCAAGCAGAGAACAAGGCCGGCTGCTCATCAAGCATGAGCCTTGTGCTGGTATCTGTCCACTGTGGCAGGGCCTGGCCCCAGCACCACCAGACAGCAG